ATCAAGTAAGAAAAATCAACAGTTCACTTTTCTGGAAAACGCAATTTTGTAAGAAGTTGTTACAAAATCTTTCAGTCCATTTGTTAAAGTGCTTGTAGCCACTGGAAGAAYGTCAATTAATGTCTGCAGCAATATACTACAGTTTTAAAAGTGTGGAAAACAYATGCATTCCTCAGAAATTAAGAAAGTAATATCCACAGCAAAACGACTGCAATACCTTGCCAGTCGACCCAGATCAGGCCATCTATAAGATTATTTTAAAGCCCAATTAGTATCACAACTGTTGTTTCCTATTTGTTTCTGTCCATACCAAGTTTTATGAACTGCCTGCTRTCCATTCTCCTTTTTTCTGCAATTACAAATAGGAAGCTGCAAATAGATTGTACTGAGTGACATAAGAACAAAATGAATACAGAGAAACAGAAAAAGAGGAAAAGAAAGCCACTTTTCAGGTTCGCTTGCATCCACCTATATATAAAAAATCTTATTTGGCTTATGTACAAGTAAACACCCAAGGTGGAATCAAAGGAACAAAATGTTAAAGTACTCTTAGTGTCAAAAATAAAAAACACATTCCAATAAAAATTTCAAATTAAATCTAGTGGCARTATGCCTTAGAAATAAAGGAGAAAAATATGCCATGGAGAAAAATGATCAGCAAAAGACTCCTTAATTTTCCAAATGCTACAATTCAGTTCTGTGATTTTCTCCTGTCTATGCCTATGCCTAGTTTAGTGCAGAACCGTGTGCCTGTGACTCAGGCTACTTTTCTATCACACTGCCTGATCCACAGCACTGTAGTTTATCTGCACTTTTCGTTGATTTCAGTCAGCAAGAACACTTCACTACAAAGGGAAATGTCASCGAGAATGCTTTGTTTGAGTGATTGAAACAATGTACAAAGTTTTGGAGAAACCCAGCATGCTCAGGGTATATTTTGCTGTAGGCAGAACATGCYCTCAGGAACTCTCAAGACCAGATCCAAAGAAATATATGGAAACAACTAAAAGTACTGAGTCAGAGAAGTCTGCCACAAGAAAGAAAATTCTCTGCTTACTCCCAAGCCTAAGTTCCAAATAGCTTTTGACTTTCTCCAGCCACTTTTACATCACTGGAGCTTTGTTAAATCTCCAGTTTTTCATTTAAGAATGAAATGACAGCCTTATACAATATTTACAGACTGTTTTGATCAGCATTGTACTTCTTACTCTAGAYTCCTAAAACATTTATTTTGTTATGCTTGGCATTTCTGGTGAACTATCCTACTTTCCTGACAGGACCAGATACCAGCTTGATATTCACATGGTCATTTTCTCTTTTACCTTCTTTAGTTTTCAGAGTCATAAATTCCTGTTTTTATTTAATGGACAATGAGAAGAATAAAAAGACAGCACTATTCAAGGAAGTCAAAACACCTCATTAGATAAAAGCTCATAGTAACAAACTAATGTAAATATTCCACTTAACACTTGGCCTATTTTTTTTAGGACATGGCTCAGGCAGACATGGTTATTTTTTTCATATCTTTCCTTGAATAGATTGACAAACATGTGCAGACAGCAGTATCCAAACAGGAGTGCATCAGGAGATGGCCTTGATAACTTCCACAGGTTCCTTGATAACTTCCAGAAGCGGTGTCCATCCAAAAACTGATACTCATAGGTGTAGTTTCCTCTAAGCCAACTAAGGCTCTAGGTCCCTTGCTTGCTTCCCTCTTCTGTTTCAAAACTTTYTTCTTGCTAAGGTGCTGCCTGTTTCTGATCTATCCTCTGACAGAGACAACCACCAAACTGCACAGACACGTAAAACAATGGACAAAAGGCTACTTCAGTTGCCATTCCCACAGCAAAAAAGATCATCAGTTAAACTCGAGCTTTTATATGACCAGCACTTTGGAAGTCCTGGGTCAGTGGCATTATTCACACAGAAACTGAAATCCCTTACAGTTACCCATGGTCGGTTCCAGCAAATGTTTCCACCAACTTCACCTTGACACATAAACTGGAAATACAAATGCTGGCAGCCTTCAACATTTTCCATCCTCTGATGTTGTTCAGTAAAACAAACCCTTTTCAGTTTAACGTTTGTCCTTTTCAAGACATCTTAAACAACAACTAACAYAAGAAGTGTTTCATTTGCTACTGCAAACTGGTCCCACTTCTGACAATCTCTTTAGTGTGATTACCTAAAAATCTTCCAGGATAAAAATTAATCTTTGAAAAGCCCAAATACAGATTGCTTTGGAGTTCTGTTATTGGTTTATACCAATAACTCTACTTAATTCATAATTATGTACAGATAATGTAACTTGTGTTTTTATCTAATATTGATCTGGTTATAGCAATAATGCYTGGACTCGATCTTAAAGGTCTTTTCCAACATAAATGATACTATAATTTATATATGGTACAATACATAGACTGTATACAGAATATGAGGAAATATCTGTCTCCAAAAATTAATCATAGCTGATTTATAAACAAGAAGTGAAAGTCTATTGAAAAGTGAGCAGTTTGTTGAAGTTTACTWACAAATCTTCATACTGAGACTTAGTCATAAACAGTATCAGTATCAAGAGCAGTAAGCTTGATTAATGATTTCCTTTCCMATGTGGATGCACGAATCTCTCTAAATGTTTATTTCATCTGTGCTATATTTGAAAGCACTTGATTAATTCTTAAAACTAAACCACTAAAGAAACAGTTCCTTTAMCTAGTCTTTGATCTTATATAATAACTCCAGCAGCTTTATTAGTCTAATGATTAAGTTTGCAACTAAGTAGCTCTTCGGTGTTTTAAGGTAGACTCTGCTCCTCATTTGCAACTACAGCACCAATAATTTTTTTTGAGCATATGAAGTTGTTCTAAGGATATTTGGCTTCAGCAATTCAGAACTATTTTTCTGTTTCTCTCCTCTTTAACCCAGTTAACTCARTAAAACTATTCTGAACAATTTCACCCTATTTCTAATGTTTTTTTTGCTTCCTAGTGTCCAAACAAGTTTGAAACTGAATGCAAACAGTTGCAAAATAATGCCAAAGTTATTTTTGAAAACTCTGAATTCATCTTCTAAAGGAAATACGATGCATGTTAGTGTTTATAAATCTCACAACCTCAAACCTAGAATTTAAACCAAAATTTAGATGCCAGTAAAATTTACTATGGCTTCTTTCATGTGATTTGCCACAGTGCTTGCTGTATACTGACCTATTTATTCTCATCTGAATACTTTTATCTACATACTATAGTAAATATATAAAGTAGAATAGTTTTCAACTTATTGCTATCTCTCCCAGACATTTTATTAGATGCTTGCTAAATATTCAACCATAATATACATAGTTATGTCAGTGGTTAAGAGATGAAAGCCTACATTACTTCACTCAGGAAATGAAGTTCAGGTTTCCTTTCATTGCAATATCCTTCAGTGCATGGAACAGAAATGCTTTTGCAGTGAATTGTTCAACAAGTGAGTGATGCAATGGCTTACACAGCTAAGCCACTGCATGATTTCTAAGGCCACAGGGTTAATACATAGTGATAAACTATTCAGTTATAATTGTAGCTTTCATGCCAGTTTAATTGAATACTATGAATATTACAGTTAAAACCTGCTCTGTTATTTAGCAGAAATTTGAATTTTGACTTCCCTGAAATCTAAGTGATTCAACATGTATTAAGGTATTATTATCCCACAGCATAAATCAAATCCACAGGAATTTTAACATTGATTAAATTAACCCAAATATGTTGGGGAGTAAGAAAGGYAGGAAATCTTCAAGAAGGCCATACATAAAGAAGACAATTGTCCAATGACCAGTTCTCAAATGTAGTTGAAATGTAAGTAAAGACTTCATGAAGATAACTTTCCCTAAGATACAGCTTTAATTCTTTTTTTCCTCACAACACAAATAATAACAATATGATGGAAGTGCATTAATTTCAGGTTTGAGATTTCCAGATCTCTTGAGGTCATTAATGTGTGGYAATCTTAGGTGATATAAGGAAAGGGATTAATGAGACCATTTTTTATGATCTCCAATGCAATAGGGAGTGAAGGACTTCTCTGAAGAATGGATATYCCAACTGCTTTAAGAATTCTGGGACAAATTTATACAGTGTCATTCAGACAGCATTAGTTTTCCACAATCAAAAATTATGTAATATGAAAGTCTCCAGTGCTAGAATGCTAACAAATGCTAACTGATGCTACAGCTGTCCAGATTGCAATGTCATAATTTTAAACATAAATAAGAAATGTAACAATCAAATCTAAAGACCAAATTGACTGAATTTCCYCAGATCAAAATACCTTTTGATACCTACGAATTTCACCTTACCACAAAGAAAAACAGTAACTTTAACATAAGATAAAATGTAAGAGGCAGTATCAAAGCCATATTTACTAATTTCCACTTAGAGTAATTCCCATATATTTAAACTTGAAAGCAATGCAATTGTTATTTAAAAATTTTATTTTTAAAATCATATTTTAAGTTACAGCAAACYTATAGATATTTTTAGGACAGTTCTGCCCACAAAGTTTCAGTCTAGGAATAATTTTGGATCCTAATGACAATATKCTGTTATTTTTTATGTAATATACTTTCTCTACATTTTAGAGTTTTTATCAATGCATTAATTCCTGACAGTTACTGATGATTTTACGTATTTCTGGGTTGAGTATAAGAACAGTCCTCATCATTGATGCTTCTGAAACGCCAAGTTACAACAGTGAACTGAGTCAAATTATCAGAAAACATTCCCAGCACACTTCTGACACTCTGTAAAGCYGACATTTCACTATTGGTGTTCATCTTCTCCTCCCCTTCTCCAAATCCARTTGAGATTTTGTGTTTTCTAAGTCACATCAAAACCAGATTAAACACTGGATAAAAATACCTAAAACTTTARAATTGTTTCCTATGATTGTACTTTTCCCTTTTGAACTTGTATCTTCAAGAGGATAGACATTTATGCCTGAGGCAAAGTGTTACTCACTGTGAACAAGGAAGCAAAAATCTTTCCACATCAGCAACAGAGTAAGCTTTGTGAATCCTTCTGCATCATATTCCACCACACCACTATSAACAAAAAAACAACAAAAAGTGAATACAATTTTTACCTTCTAATAATGAATAAAGAATATGTAAATTTTGTATAACAGGGATTATTTTTATTTGTTTGTTCAGAAACTTCCAGTATGTGTTTTGGTTATTAACAGTTACAATTYTCCATCTAATTGTAAATTAAACTTTTAATCTTAATAATCTTCTTAATTATTCTGTGGTATTGTAGGTCCTTACCTAAAGAAAGGCCATTTTCAGTTTAAAATACACTTTTGAATGGAGACCTCCTACCACACCTGCAGTCCTAAACCGGTAAAAACTGCAGACACACAAATTCCCTGTATCTTACTCAAATTAAGGTAATTTATTAATTCTGTAGTAAATGAGAGGGTAAAAGTGAAAATAAGCAGRTTGGGAAAAGTTTAAATTTGAAAATTGGAAAGATTATATATAAAAAATACAAAACATGAGTTCATAACAAAAAAATTCCATATAGAACACTTGTTACACAGATGGATTAAAAGTTTCAGCTATCAGAAGCTGGTATCTCTAAATCTCAAGCAGTATCAGAACTCATGAGCCACAATGCAATTGCCAGGTAATCACAGGCACACCTGGCCATTTCTTAACAGTTTTCCCAGGAAAGGAAATATTTTGTCTTGATAAAGACTGAGCTTACATTGACTGTCATATGTTCAGTTCAAGTCACTGTTACCTATTTGTCACTGTATTAAATTTGGGTGTATGATAGAAGCCATCTGTTTTCCTTGAGAGACCCAAGACCTGAAGGGCTCCTGAACATCCATGTCACTGGCATCATCCCTTAGAAGCAGAAACCCCACATCACCATTAGATAAAGGCTTGGACTCCGGCTCGAGTCAGAATTTAGGTGGAAAAAACAAAGTGCCAACCTCTCACAGTGCCAAGGCAGCCCCGATTAATTGATTTGYGAAGCTAATGTATCATCATGCCTGGACATGGACCTTTCATCTACAGGAATGCAGCATGATCCAACAGCCTCTTCTCTTGAGAGACAAAATACTCGTTGGTGGCGGGAACAGCTGGTCTCCCAGTCCTGCCTTTATGCCAAGCAGGTTTTTGGCTCTTGCAAGGCTTGGAACCATACCTGCTTCCCCATTTTCCCACCCCCACCACTGCCTATTAGTCTAAGACCCCTCAASTAATTTATTCAGAAATGAACACATTTCTTCTGCACAAGAAGAAAATCCCTACTGTCTCTTTTCCATCATCACCTATTTTCTAGATAAATCAGATTGGCAACTGGCACAGAAGAGAAATAATGCTGAACTACTTTACAGCACTGCTACAGAGAAACAATCTATAAACATCATTCAGTGAAAAATGACTGGATTTCATCTTATCYAGTGGACAGCAGCCACACAATGACAAACCATGTGCAGAAAATGAGTTTTCCTCGAGCTACAGAAATATGCATCGAAAGAAAACTTACGTTCCAAAGTGACTCAGGAAAGCTGCAATGTACTCTCTTCTCTTATGGTATCCCTGAATMACATATTGTACCTTAAAAAAGAAAGAAGAAAGCAAATTCAGAGCTATAAAAACATTAAGAAAGCCAAAGCCCAGTTTGTCATATATTTCTTGTTAAGGAAGATTAAAGTTTGGCATGGTAATAGTTCTGAGTCCTGCATTTAGTGGGATTTTCCTAAAATGCCTTTAAAACAAACTCTGAATCTTTCACACAGAATATATTGTAAAGAAATCTCTTCAATCACTTCTGAGTGAAATTTAATCTTGCACAATAGATTGAAGCATTGTTTAACTGCACAAGACAAAGACTGAAAGAAAGAAATGCTCAGCCTTGCCTTACTGAAGTTTGAGTAGAAAGCTGTGATAGGCAAATCAGTTATCTGAACTGACAGCAGGCTGAGTGTCAAAATAACATTCTGGTTATAAAAGAGAAGAAAAAATTAGATGTCTTTCACAACTGATCTTGGGTGTTTTCTGAAGACTGCACCTCCAACAAAATCTTCTGAACACTAAGCTCTTTCACTGGTTTCATGCTGACTCAGGGAGCCACCTACTCAACTGCAAGCATCAGTTTCTGAGGCATTCTGGGTTTTGAAAGACTTCCATCCTAGCACAGACAAAATCCAACAATACTAAATCTGGAGATTTAAGGCAAAATTCTCTTCACACCCATATATGTTTTCTTGTTGATTTGAATGGCATTACTTAGGAGAAAAGTGTGAACAAGGTTTGACCCATAACACAACCAATGCATGTGTAATCAGCTACAAGGACATCTGCTTTACAACTGGTGACTTGGAAGTACTTATGGTGTGGTTCTATATGCAATTCYCTATGCAAATTCCTTTGCTTTCCGGAACAAAAAGCAACATTTTAGGAAACTTTTTTCCCCCACCAAACAGAACAGGAAGAGTGTATTCTTGGCTATGCAATACTAGAATTCCTTGGCTGGCAAACGCTTTCCTAAAATTACTGAAGAAGCCTTGATACAACCATTGCTGAGAGGTATCTTGTATAACTTAAAGTTAAATTCTATTTATAAATTGAAACATTTCATTTTAAAAAACACTACGATTATTTTGAAGGCTTTGTGKAGGATCTGAAATGTTATTTCGGGAAGAGGAAAACATATGATAAGTTTGCTTAAGTGACTTTGTTTAAGAAAGGATAAAAACAGTCCTGTGTACTTGCAGATTTTAAAAACAGAAAGCAATTTTAACAGAAAACCACAACAAAAACAACTCTAATGACAGAGTCCAACATAATTATGGAAACATGTTCTGAAGAACTTTTTCTAAAAGATAAAATAATTTTCTTCATTTAGACAATTGAAGGTAAAAATAATATACAAATAGGAAGTCTGTAATAGGTAAATTTCTGGATGTTGACCCCTAAGCCTTCTTTTGAATATTACATTTAAATAATGGAGAAACTTTTAAAATACTATAATCACTATTTTTTGTTTAAACAGTAAACTAACTGGAACACAACCTTTTCAGCAGCCTTAAACAGCTATTACTGTATAAACATCCAAAGAAACTGCTGATTCAATTCATCTGGAGGAGACATCTGAGAAGAAAAATCATGGAAAGTACTCAAAACCTACAATGACAACTGGGGTACGAGAAGTTGCAACCAGAAAAATAATATGCAAATTACACATATGTATTTACCAAAAGACAGTATACTACAATGCAATGTTGTACAGTGGAATAACATTTTATCCTAAATCTTAACATGTCGCACTAAGAAAAAAACTACTCCAGGATCTGATCTCAAACTCACTTGTTTATCTAAAGGAGTCATTCTATTCAATGTCCTGCTTAGGTGCTCAGCTCTTATCAAGAATGWACTCCCTGTGTAGTTCAGCCTAAGTATGCCTTGCTTAGAATACCTGGCAGAAGAACAACGATGTCTGTGGAAGAGCATAAAGGAAAGGAAAATTGATTGTCTGTACCAGCTTACCTTGTTTGTTAGCAGCTGGCATACTTGGGGTACATAGTCGATGAGACAACCTCCACCAGGAAAGGCTGGGATGTGAAGGGCAGATGATCCTCCAAGCGCACTAGAAAAAGAAGAATTTAACAGTATGTTACATGTGCAGTCCCTGGGATTTGAAAATTATTTCTGCACAGTCCTCCTTCCCTATGTTATAAGTTAGACGGCCACAAGGAAGTGTGATAATAAAATGTATTGAGTGACACCATCTATAAAAGCAGGTTATACCATGACCAACTGTAAATAAGCCACTTAAATCATAAGTATCACTAAYGTAAAACATTCTCTCAGTAAAAAGCTTTTGCATTGTGAACAGTTCTGTTTCTTAGCCCTCATCAGCAACATGTGGAATATTGTAGTTCAGATATCTCATTAGTGTGGGAGGACTTTAGGTCCTCAACTATTCCAAAAACCACTTTCAGTCAAACCAGCTAAGAATAAAATAACTGGGGCTGAGGAGTAATAGATGACCAGATGCAAATATCAGTCACATCACCTACTCCAGTTCTGGACTTCCCAATAGAGCACAGATGTTAACCTACTTGATCAAGGGAGTAGTGGGTCAGAAAAATAATATTAGGTACAGGACGATGTAAGAGGGATGCTGAAAGAAATGGTTTTGTTCAGTCTTCAGAGAACACTGCAGAGGAGGAATAGTGAGGAGGGAAGTTGAAGGCACATTGATGCCTTCGATTATCTAACGGAAAATTATAGAGACGATGGAGTCAGAGACTTCTCTAAAGTGGAGCTCAGTGGTGTTCTGTCCTCAGAGGTGCTCAAARCTCAGCTGAACAACTGCTGTGAGCTGGCCCTGCACTGAGGAACTATTTCTTGCCAATCTACATCCGTTTGTGATTATATTCCATGATTTTATGATTTTGTTCATCCCCAGTAGGAAATAACAAAATTAAGGATATTAACTGTCCATGCACATACTGGGTATCTGAATGGTAGGAATCCACAGAAATAAGGTCACTTCAGTGATGTATTTAGGCAGCTTAACCATTTGCCTTTATCAAAGGATAGAAGACTGAAGCACACTTGCTATTACTCAGGATAATGGCTTCTTTGGTGTGGAAAGATCTGACACTTATTTAAATCAGGCTGTATAAGGCAACAACTAGGTGAAGTCCATGCTACTTTCTTCGAGCAGTACTGACCTAAATCTTTCTKTATAGTCCCTTACCAATCTAAAAGGATATGAATTTGCATTACACACTGTGGATTACATCATTCACCAACCATCCAGAACCTCCTTGGGCACCATTAAAAAGCTTCAAGAGCTAAGTTATTTTGTGTGGCCTCCTGTTTATATGCTGTTTCCATGACAAATTACACTGGCTAGAAAGAAAAATTCTTCTCTGCAAAATAAGGCTCTTACCCTTCAATGGGATCTGGCCTTGTATTTTCCTCAGTATTTGATAAGAAATCACTTTGGTAGGTGTAAAAGTCTACAGTCATACATCCCTTTGAAGGAACAGAGCCTACATAAATCAAAAAAATCCCAAACTCATAATGAGGTATATGGAAATCTGCTACTCAGGCAAAACAGTCTGGGTTTAGCAGACTGTTCACCACATGGAACAGTTCTGCAGGTCTGGATTTTGCATATGCAATGATGAAAAAAAAAGCCTTAAGTACACCACAGCTACATAAAAAAACAAACAAACTTTTCCAGGAGAAGTAAGACCCGAATGGGATTTTTTTTTTAAACAGAATTCAGTTTCCTTGCTGCTACCCCCTTACTAAAATTACTCATATGAGAATATAATTTTGCAACTTGTGGATGGTTAAAAGCAGTGAAGTGTGACTACGACATGATTAAAAGTTGGAACATTTCTGAAACAGTAGTTTGTTCTTGCAAAATTGAAAGTATATGGGCTCCATCGATCTCTAACACTGGGGAATGGAGGACTTTTCCCCCTGGTACATTACAAGTGGGTTGTGAACTTTACTTTAGGATCCTGACTTTCAGTTTAAGAAACTCCTTGAATATTATGTAAATATATCCATAAAAGTCTCCAATCTCATACACAGAGAAACTGGTGCTGTCCATTCTGCATCCTGCCTTGCCTCATCTGACACCAAGTCCACATTCCCTTGCAGCATGGACATACCACTGAAGATGCTCAGATGATTACAACAGGAATTACAGGTTTCTCTCTCAGTTACAATAGCAGGTATGAAATTAAGAGTCATCTCTAACAGACTACACATGCAAAAAAAAAAAAAARAAAAAGCTTCCACTCCTGTATCATTAGCTTACAATACATCTTCCAGACTGAATTATTATGATTTGTGAGTGAGGGCTTCCCATTTTACCTGTATCCATTTCTTAAGTAGCCAGCCTGTAAAAATGTGTTGACATAAATGGAAATCCAGCCCTTCTCAAACAAAAACCAGGCTGCTAAAAGTGTGGTTTCTAAGAGAGGTCCCTTCACAGAAAGAAGGCTGGAATTTCTAGTATAATTATCCTCTGAAAACAGAATAAAGCTGTACAATATGTAATTTATGTTCTGTAGAAATAATTATGGGTAGGGAAAATTAAGAGTGGACAGGCTTCTTTGTTCCTTTTATTGGGTCAGAGAGTCTGCTTATTAAATATTTTAATAAAATACTGCATTTGCACAGGACCTTGCCTCTGACCATCTCAAAACTGTCTATAAACATTCAGCAACTAAGATTCATYTGCCTTATTAAACTGGTATTTACCTTTCATTTTTAAACATGTAAAGAAGCTATTGCTCAGAGTTTGATTTGACTATGCTGTACTGYGATGTCTCTGTCATATTAAAGGAACATATTTGCAGCACCTCACAATCCTTAAACTTGGCAAGAGGCCRTAACAATTCATTTGATTTTTAATAAACCTGCAGCTGAAGAAAGAAGATACTTATACAATGTCAAAGAAAAACCTGTCAAAAGTGCAAAATGGAGACAATTAGGCAAGGGAAGGCCACCATGGAGCTCAGTATCTAAGGCTACTTTTTGAGAAAAAGTGTGAAAGAAAGTGCTATAAGAAGCCTTTTATAGTCAAGGACATTCCATTTGCCAAAGTATTTCACCAGCACAAAATAAAGATTGCTGCACATCAGATCTACTTTCCAGATCGTTGAGCCTCTTGGAACATAGATCTTACACACCTCTGTTTGCAATCAAACTTTCCTTCTTGGTATCAGTGTTACACACCCTGATGTACAAAAAAACCCCAACCATTTTCATTTTATCAAGACAACAAAAGGAGTTAAACAAAAATCATCAAGAGATATGAGGAGGAAATTATTAGTTATTAAACACAGACAATTGCTCTMCTACAGCTGCCAGAGTAAGGCTAGTTTCAGTACAATCAATTGAATTGTGTTGATTTTTACACATTTTTTTTCCAGAAAACAGCTACTTTTTAAAGGCTAGAATTCTAACAGTCTGATATTTTCTGTAATTTTCACAATTCACAAAACAACAGTCTCAGGGGATGCAATTTCATTCGGACTGGTACCAGATGAAGATTAAATACATGGTAGATCTACCTGTCTCAGAGATAAGGTTGTACAAACATGCTGGAACAGATGAAGATCTGTTTGCCTGAGAAATTTTATTTGCTTTCTCTTACTCTAAACCTATTCAGCTCTGCAAACCAACTTCATACATCTCGTTTTAAGACAGAGCAGGGACACCTTTGGTCCTATCCTCTTTGTTTCCAGAGTCAGACACAATGTGGTTCTGATCCATGGTCTGTGAATTAAATTGGATTTTGCGAGGAACACATGACTGAATTCAACAAGTGCAGCAGTCAGMCCACATTAATGGAAGTTTTGTTCTGTGACATGCTGAAATACAAGTTCAGAAAGCATAGCTGGGRTATGTTTACATTTCTGCTGTCGGCTGGTGCATTCCAAGTGACTTGCTCTGTCTGTTTCTCAATGAATSTATTTATTCAGGCCGACATACAAAAGGCAAAATTCTTTCCCATTTTTTGATAGCTTATAATTAATTAAAATGTCTTTCTCAAGAAATGATCCTCAAAAAATGGCATCACATTAATTCACAAGTTTAAATAAGAGACTGTTTTTGTTCTTGAGTATTAACGCGTAAAGAACCATTTATCTGCCCTTCCTGAAAAGCATCACTTCATTAGAKAAGATGGGCACTTCCAAGTTTCAAGCTCAGAAGATGGGTGCTTTAGCAAGGCAGACTTACAGGCATGTAGAGAGATGCTCTTACTCCCATCTCTACCCCCTTCCCGACAACTCTCCACATACTCTCTTAGGCTTACCTAGTTCCCCTAAATTCTTTTATTCACACCACCTCTTCCCTACAATTTATTTTGCTTCCCTTTCTCCAAAGACAAAAACTGCACGTTTCCCTAGATTGGTGGGAAACTTTTGAGCTGAGTCTGAAAAATGATGATTATTTCAGACTACCCTCTACGTCACAGTTAAAAAAGTTATGTGCTAACACAGGTTAAGGTACTACAGCTAAGGACTTGTACACACATAATATAGTTTCTGTTTTGTGTCCGCCCCACCACCTGTTCCCATTTCCCGTTTCCAAAAATTACATAAGCTTTTCTATGAAACAAGTGTCACAAAGAAAAGAACATCTACAGAAAAGTTATGCTTTTAAAAGGAGATAGCTTACCCAGCACCTTACCCAATAGTAGTTTGTTTTTCACTCCAAGGGAGGGAGAGTAAAAAAACTGTATTTGGGTAAGGAAGACCAGAAATGTAAGAAGAATCATACTTATCATGAATACAGTGTGAACATAGCAATAAAGAGCTTTATACCCAATGAAAGTGGTACATAATATTGACTGCATTCAACATTTCTAACTCCAATATATTCTTTCTGCAATACAGACMGAAAAGCGGGAAAAATTGTGAATGATACAGTAATAGATTTGTCTAGGTTTGAAAATGTAAACAATTAAAAAACTTGCCTCTACATGGAAAGACCTTTTGTACCAGTTTAAAGTACAAGCTTTTCTCTCAGTATGGCTAATGTTAAAACTTGTTCAGATCTATGTACTAGTGATGGGAAGTAGACTTTAGACTTTACAGGCTATAGCCC